AGGGAAACGCTTATTCCACTGAGCCATCTCCCCGGCCCCCCTGGTCCCTTCTTTTGCAGAAGTGCTAGGCTGCTCTCTGGTGGCACCCATATTCCACGTGTCTCAGGACCCTGCATGCGGCTCCTACTCCAGGCGCTGGTCTTGGTTGGGGGAAGCTGAATGACAAGTCTGTCCCCCAGGGAGAGGGGCCCGTCGCAGCTCATGTCCTGCCTAGAAGCCTGTCCCACCTATATGTGCGTTTGTGCTTCTAGGCAGGTTCCTTGGGGGTCAAGCACACTGTCCTGCTGGTTGTCTAGGTGTCCCCCCCAAAGCCTCAGGTGGTCACAGCTGGAGCTTTTGGAGGTGGCTGGATCCGAGGGGTGATGCTGGCATCAAGCCCACTGATTGGTTGACTCAGCTCTGGGTAGGACTTAGGCCACCCCACCCGGGTTGTGGGTGGCTGGCTCTGTCCAACACAAGGGACAGAAAGGAGGGGTTGCTTGCCCTTGCTGCCTTCTGCCTGCCCTGACTGTGTCTCCTCTGTGATGTCACCCCGCCTTGGTGCCAGTCTGCTGAACTGAACTGCCACGCTGTGAGCCAAGTAAAGAAACCTGTTTTCCTTTCACTTTGGGTCTCAGGTGTTTTTCAGCAACGAGAAAAGTAAAGCACTTTGTTCCTGAAAGTATACTTGGGTTTTCCTGATGGTGTTTAAGCAGATACGAGTTGGAGTGAAGGAAAAGCTCCCCGCACAGGCCTGGATGCGCCTGCAGAGCCCCTCTCCCTGCGCACTGGCCCCCTCATCCTGGCAGTTGATCCCTTAATAAAGGAAAGGAGTGGGTGGCCAGGGGAGACCTCTGTCTCTGCTTCTTTTTCATTAATATTAACTAACTTTAATTTGCTGCACTGAGGATTGAACTCTAATATTACTGTGAGGCGGAGCCTGCACAAGTTGCCCTGGCTGGTCTCAAAGTGGAGATCTGCCTTTCTCAGCCTCCCAGAGAAGAAGTTCCTTTTAAACCTGTTCTTGGGGTTGGGGTGGCAGCTCAGCTGTAGACTGCGTGTGTACATTAGGTCTTGGATTGTGTGACTTTTTCCTACCAAGAGGGGTAGTTTCTCAGCACAGGCTTTTTTTTTTTTTTTTTGTGGAACCGGGAATTGAGCTCAGGCCCTTGCTCTTGCCAGGGAAGCACTTACTCCACTGAGCCAGCTCCCCGGCCCACAGCCCAGGCTTTTGATGTTGGATAACTATGTATGTGATTATTCCATTGTTTCCTTTAACCAGGCAGTAAGGTTAATGAAGGCAGTAAGTTCTGTGAGGGTTTTTGTTGTTGTTGCCGGAACCAGGGATTGAACTCGGGACCTTGCACTTGCCAGGGAAGCACTTATTCCACTGAGCCGTCTCTCCTGCCCAGGCTTTTGAGAATAAGGCTGGAGAGTGCGTGCTGCTCCCTGTGACCCTGGGGGCTACCCTTGCCCTCCCCCCTGCACTGGGAGTCCGCCTGTGGTATGGACCTGCCCACCACCTGCTCCTGGGGCCTCCAGGGGACAGTGCCTGAGGCAGAGCCATGTGGCAGCGGCCAAGATTTGGCCAGGACCCCTGCCCATGTCCCTCCACACTCACCCACTGCAGACCCTGGGCCTGGCCCCACCAGCGCCTGCCTGTCCTGCTGGTGACCCTTCTGGAGGGCTGAGGTTGCTCCTCACTTTCAGGGAGCAGGGAGGTGCAGCCCTTTGGGGTACGGGTGCTTCTGCAGAAGCAGGTGCTCACAGAGGAGCCTGGTTCCTTCTGGGGGCTGCTGGCCACTAACCACCCTTGTACTTTCCTCAAACACTTGAAACTTCCTTTTCTTTTGGCAGCACTGGGGGTTAAACCAGGGCTTTCACACTGAGCCCCTCCTTCCCCAGCCCCCCAGCCCCTTTACAGATTTTATGTTGAGGCAGAATCTTGTTAAGTCACTAGTGGCCCAGACTGGGTTTAAATTTGCAGTCCTCCTGCCTCAGCCTCCCAGAGTACTGGGATTATAGGTGTGGTGGCTTTATAACATTTTTTTGTGTTGATTTCTCTGTGGTGTAGGTAGGTGTGTGATTTTTGTTCACTTTCCAAGTTTATTTTTTTTTTAGTGGTAATGGGGATTGAACTCTGGACCCTGTGCTTGCCAGGCAGGTGCTTATTCTACTGCGCTGTCTCCCTGTCCCTGGTCACTTTCCTGAGGGCTTTGCCAGCTATTGGTACCTGACTGGCATCCAGCCAGGTCACCCTCAGGCTGGCACCAGGCAGTGCCATAGAAGAGGGACTGTGCTGGCCAGAGGACAACACTTGATTGTGGGCCTCAGAGAAACAGCTGTGCATCCTGAGGGGTCCTGGTGTGTCAAGCTCTGTTCTGAGCCTGGATGTCCCCTCATCTGTCCCCAGGATGTCCCCTCATCTGGAATGGGGAGGGTTTGAGGTGGGTGACCTCCAGGGTGCCTTTCATTGGGGCCCTCCTGGGAGGCTGGGAGGCTGAAGCTGGCAGGGACTGGCAGGGATTGGCAGGGACTGCCATGGTGAGGGCCTTTCGGGTGGTTGGTCCCAGGAGCCCCAAGGGAAGCGGGTATCCTGTGTGCCCACCATGGTGTGGAGTGAGGTGGGCTGTGTCAGCACCTGGCAATGGGCTTCACATGCTCAGGGTGGGTGGGTGCCTTTCC